GGGGTGTTTCTTGGGCCTTTGTTTTAGCCACGTTTGTTGTGGTTGTCTCATCGCAGTGTTATATTGCTGTAATTTGTATTAAATGTGCTTTATTCATAAGCTCAAGTGAGCTAGTTATTCAAAAAAAATTAAATTGTACACCATAGCCACTCTATAGCTTAGAGCTTTCATTTACATGACAAGTCATGGTGTCCACATCAGCTAATGGGGACTGGAAAGTGGTACAAATCTTTCATAACAGTAACAAGCAAAATGATTTATTTTACCACAAATTTGGCATGTTCAAATGGAATTTGTTTTTGGTGGAGTGCAATGTTGTGGAGATTCTGTTCCTCTTTCTTACCTAAAACATCCGCTTCCATGCCAAAAATGTGTGTCTTATTGTCCATTCCATAAGGAAGGTGCTCTAGGAGCTCTAAGTGTGAAGGCATATGCAATCAATTATGGGTTCCTTTTTCCTTTTATTTTTTTAGTTTTTATTTTTTATTTTTACTTTGGGGTGTTGATAAACTTTTTCTGATAATTAAGCAAGATTGGGTGTAAATCTTCAAAGGAATAGTAAGGAGTTATGCAATATAAGTGAACCATTTGTATTCCTCTCCAAGGTGACAAAATGAATAATCTTGTCGTCATTAGGTATAGTCTTCTGTATAGCAGCTAGATCATCAAAAATAGCCTTACAAAATTGAATGTACTAATAATGGAAGAAGACCTAGATTTACATTTATGTATGTTCATATGAAGTTACATTTCTTTGGCCTTTGATTTTTCAACAAATAAATCTTCCAAAGCAACCCAGATGTCAAGAGCAGTTGGGAGATTAAAGACATCTATAAGTATACCAAGGCATGAGGAGCAAATAGTCATCTAAGCACAAGCTGAACTTGGCAATCAATGTTTCATATTCTATATTAAGTTGAGGTGCTTCTTAGGTTTTTGTTAGTCGTTAATTTTAAGAGATATTGTGATGATCCTAAATTTTTGGAACTGAAAAACAACAATAATAATAATAATAATAATAATGATAATAATAATAATAATAATAATAATAATAATAATAATAATAATAATAATGATAATAATAATAATAACCATAATAATAATAATACAAAATACCTATATAAAAGAATAATTTTGAATGATAGTCCATTGTGTTGATAATACACCATGGGACCATTATTTTACAAAGCTTTTCATTTCCACGATTTTTTTAAGAATACTTAATTAAGATAACAAGGTATAAGGTAGCATTATAAGATAATAATGGGAGGTGATGTGGCATTATAAGACAGTAATATGAGGTGATGTGTCATGAGGTGGAGTAAGAAGTTAACAAAAAAGGAGGACACATAATTTGACATTTATCAAGTGGAGGAGTGTCCTCCCTCATTTTTAAATATCCTTCTCCCCGCATGAACTAATCATTATGCTCATCAAGTTTTTTCATCTCTCTCTTCCATACGTAAGTCCTCTTTCTCTCTCTTATAATATTCTCTCTCATAAGATCTCATGTAATATTCCTCTCTCAAAATGATTTCATTATGATAAGAATCATTCCTCTCTCTCATATAATATTCTCTCTCATAAGATCTCATGAATTATTTTCTCTCTCATAATATCCTCATGAAGACAATATTATTCTCATAATGTTAGTATTATTATCTCATAACAATTATTTTTCTCTCTTATAATATCCTCATGAAGATAATATTATTCTCATAATATTACTATTATTATCTCATAACAATTATTTTCTCTCTCATAATATCCTCATAAAGATAATATTATTTTCATAATGTTTTCATAAAAATAGTATCATTCTCATAATGATGTCTCATGATGGCTCTATCATAACCAGTGATTTTTCTCTCTTATAATATTCTCATAAAAATAATTAAAGAATATTTTTCTCTCTCTTGTAAAGACCTCATAATAGGTTAGGTTCTCTCTCTCTCTCATAAGATTATAATATTTCTTTCTCCTGTAATATGAATATTTTTCTGCTCCCTCTCCCCATACAAAAACTCATTTGGTCTCTCTTGCCATACCTTTAGTTGAACGCCATTAATCTCAATCTTACTCTGGCAACAATAGCAAGATACCCATCTTGTGACATATAAAAGTAAGTGATCTCATTTTCCTGTAAAATAGTTATATAAAAATTGATATTTTTGTATTTAATTGTATTATTTACGTCTATCAGTATGAATTTTAGATACTGTAAGTGTTATGTGCAAGTGGTCTTATTTTCCTATAAAATAGTTATTTAAAAAATTATATTTTTGCATTTAATTAAATTGTAATATTTCCGTCTGTGAATTTTAGATACTATAAGTTTTACGTGTTCTTGTAACATGATTATTTGAAAAATTTGCATTTCTCTATATAAAAAATTTGTGATATTTCCATCTATTGTTAAGGATTTTAGATAGTTGAAAATTCAGTATTTAACTCTGGATTTCCATAAGAGTTGTTCTATTGTCAATAGACTGCTTATCATGTTAAATTTCAAGAATGTCTCCCTTAACTGCTACATTTCTGAAACTATAGCTGAAAATATTTGACTGATTATTTATGGAAATGTCAGTGGAAGTGATTGATATAAATTGCTTCATGTGAATTCATGTTAATGATTTTCAAGATATTTTGAATATACGATATTATTGTTTCGTGATATTTAGTGATAATGAGTTTCAGAGATACTTTAAGTATGCAAGTGGACCTCTCCGAGACGTCGATAGAGATTAAGTGGACCTATCCGAGACTCCGGTAGGGATTAAGTGGACCTATCTGGGACGTAGGTAGGGATTAAGTGGACATATCCAAGATACCGGTAGGAATTAAGTAAACCTATCTGATACGCCGGTAGGGATTAAGTGGACTCATCCGGTATGCCGGTGAGGTATGAGTGGCCCTATCTAGTACGTCGGTAGAGATTAAATGGACCCATACAAGACGCTGGTGAAGTATATAGGTGACCTATTGGAATGCCAGTAGGGTATTTTGTGAAATCTTTTGAATTATGTTAAACTGTGCATTTCTATTAAAGAATTTATATATGCACTTCCTCATATTGTTTCAATATGCATTCAAATCTTTTGGATTATGTTAACTTGTATATTTCTGTTAAAGATTTTGAAACATTTTACATGTATGCTCTTCCTCATATTATCTCAATATGCATTCTTTCAGAAAATATCTACATTTGCCAACCATGATTATTTTTTAAGGATTATGATGATCACTTACTGAGTAGTCAAACTCATCAAACTATTGTAAATTCTTTTAAGAGTAATTGCAACCTTATTGTTCGTACGTACAGCAGGAGTAGCTTGGAAGAAATTTGTAGTCATGGAAACAATTCGCCTTTGAAACTTTTGTTCTATCAAAGTTGTATATACAAGTTTTGATGCAATGTATAGCACAAATTCCAAATTTGTTCTATATATTAAAAATAGACCGTCATTCATCAGGAATGTTAGTGTTATAAAACTTGGGCTATAACAGATATAGTGAAGGAAAAGGCCTAGATCAATCAGAATTCCAGCCATACTTAGGTGGCACATAACTTGAAGAAACATGTTTTCGCATAGAATATAGTTTGAGTGCTCCAATTTAATGGTTAGAAGAATGACATCTGATTATGCCATGAAAGATAAAGGAACGAGTGCAAATTGAATACTAGGGTTTTATGCAAGTAGGTAATAATACATTGGTTTAAATATACGGAAAAGAAGAGATAAAGAGATCTTCAAATGGGTAGAGAGATTTCAACGGATCAAATAGACAGAAGAACTTTCTAGGGTGAGACCCAAAAAAAATCTTAAAATTAAGAAATCTCCCCACCTTTTGTACTTAACTATCACACATCAAGTCTGAATCAACACAGCTGAATCTCATACATCTAGAGATACCTCTTCAGAATGAAACAATTTGAGGCTTTATCTTCTTGATAATTGGGCTCTAAGTTTTATGTCAATGGATATAGCAAGAGAAGAATTTCAATCTTCTTAGTAGTGTTGATGACAGAAATTGGAGGGCTTGACTTTTTCTATTTGGGGTTTTGTTTCATTGCTTTGATACATCTCATGGTTTTAGTGAAGAATGGGTTCAATTTGAGGATACATAAAGGAATATAGACAATTTACTATAATACCCTTGAGCAAATAATACAATGCCAAACAACAATATATATATATATATATATATATATATATATATATATATTCTAAGAAGATGTAGATATAGGTACTACAGCTTCACTAGAAAAAAAATCAAATCTAGACAGTATTCTGAGTAACCAATGCAAAGATTGTGGCTGAGCTAATATTTCCAAATAATTTTACACAAATAGGGGAAGATTGCATGGAACAGGATGCACACATGTCAACATTCAAGAGAAAGATAAGATTCCTCGTAACTATGCACTCCCATTATTGAGGCAATAGACAACATGAGATCTCATTGGTCATTGACTGCGATGAAGTACCCAGGGTTTTACTCTTGTTCACTTAAGTGGACTTCTAGAATCCTGACATAGTAAATAGCTTTTGTAGGGCCAATAATGCATCCAGGTCCAACAAAACAAATATCAAATAATAGAAATTTGCTTATCTGCTGATACAATTTGTTAAACATGAGAGGATTTTTTTTCTACAACGGTTTGATATGAGTATTGGCAACAGGAAAGGCCTAACACATCGAAATTAATTTGACGACCAACAGTAGGAATTGATTTGGAGACCACTGATATAGAATTGTTTATGCCTAGTAATGTCATTTATGAATATCTAGATGATATTGTTTGTATGATTGCACCATCCAAGCATAGGAAAAAATTCACACAATTGCATGACAATCGGACAAGGAAAAATAATAAAAATTAATCCAGCCAAGAACACAATATAAAAATTCAAACATAAGATCATTGGACAGAAGTCGAAAGAAATTACAAATAACTTCAAATTAAAAACAATAATACACAATTTCCAAAAACATACCAGTACATCCTGCATCAAACTCTGACATAGAAGATTGTATGCATTTACGAACTGCCAGAGCAAATCCAATCCCCTCATCCAGAGAACGATCAAACTTGTACTTAAAATTATCAAATGTACTTGACCGAATATGCCCCAGCATGGCTTGATAAGCAGGATGCACGAGCTAAGTAATTCGGAAACAAGAGTGATAAGAACGTAGAGCTATCAGATATTGTTTTCATATAACGATAATGCAGCCATAAAAAAGAACAACACTATAATGACGCCCCACCCTAAAAACCATGTACAAGGCTCTACAAATACTTTTTAAGCAAAAATCACATACATCAAGGAATGCAAGAACTACGATAAGACGATTTGGAATTTATAGTAGATATAAAATGCAAACAGTGTCTCAAAAAGCGCTAGGCGGGTCCTAGGCGACCTGAGGGGTCCAGGCCGCCCAGCGTAGACGGGTGCCCAGAACTTGGGCAGCCCAGTCGAATCCATAAAGGATGCCCATTTCAATAAAAAAGGATATATAGTATAAAAAATAAAAATTAGGTATTTAGGGCACTTACTTTGAGTTTGATTGCTCAATCTTCAAACTTCCACCTCAAAGATGCTTTTAAGGACTCCAAATCTTCTAAAATACCCCCCAATAGATTTATAAAACATCAAAAATAAAATCTAATATCAATGGGTGATGTTTTGATCAATTTTTGTCAACTTTGAGAAACCCTTCGATCCTAATGAAATCACTAAAAACGAGTTTTTTGGAGGCTTTCTCTCTCTAAAATGGGCTCCAATAAGTTTTAGGTTTCAAATGAACTTAAAAACATCCTTTGAACCCTTTATATTTTAAAAAAAAAAAGAATACAAAAAAAAAAGTACCACCTCTGGGCAGGGCGCCTGCCTCGGCGCGTTCCGTACCATCTAAGCAAGGCCCAGGTCCTGGGCGGGGAGCCTGCCTCGAAGGGTTCCGTACCATCTAGGCAGGGCCCTGGCCTGAGCGGGGCGCCTGCCTCAGCAGGTTCCGTACCATCCAGGCATGGCGTAGGCCCTGGGCAGCTGCCTTGGTCTGGGCGCTGAGTGCCCGCCTAGGCGGGTTCCGTATTGGCCTCCTAGGCTTGGGCAATGCGCCCAGGCCTTCTGGACCGCCTAGGCGCTTGGCGGTCCGCTTTTGAATCACTGAATGCAAATTAACAGGAGTTCTAAATTTTCCCTGCAAGAAGCCGAAGACATAGACCAAATTAAAATTGTCATTGATCAGCAGTTCAATTGAAACTTTATTGTAAAGCATGCATAGCAGAACACTTTTATACATTACGAGGACCCTTTCAAAAAAGGTAGGTGCCAATGTCAGACCAATGTCAGACACTACCAATCTTTGAACTGTAATCAGATTTAGAGGCAACAGAAGAATATCCCCAGGCCAATGTCAGATATGGTCTTTAGAGTATGAACTTGGACCCCTAACTTAATATTTGAACTTAAAGAAGAGCAATTGAAAAAGCTTTGAAAGAAAGAAGAGAATATGTTTAGAGAACAATTTTTTTTTTTTTTTGCAAAATTCAAAAAAATCCATATCTGAGTACGTAGCCAAAATCAATGGCATATGTGATCGACTCGCTATGGCTCAGCATCCCATTATACTGACAAAGTGTACTTTGCTTTGAAGGGTCTTGTTGATCAATATGAGGCTTTTCGTACTAGTGGTACCTCTAGACCACCACATCCCTCTCTTGCAGAATTACATCCTCTACTTCAATGACAGCACAGCAATCAAGTGTGAATTCTTTTGATGTGTTGTTTACAAACAAGAATTATTCACCTCTTGGAAATGATCTTCGTGGAGCTAGAGGCAGAGGAAAAAATGATAGAGGATGTGGTGGTCATGGTAGAGGAGGATTTATGGAAACATTTTTGGGCGAGGAATCCTCCCTCCACCTAAATGGGAATAGTGGTATAACGTGTTATAAAAGTAGAAGATGTAACCACTCGGTAGTTAAATGTTAAAATAGATATGATGGAAACCCAGGACCATATGGAAGCAACCAGCACGTTGCTCTAAATACATCTCTGGATAAGGCTGATATAAAAGTAGAAGATGTAACCACTCGGTAGTTAAATGTTAAAATAGATATGATGGAAACCCAGGACCATATGGAAGCAACCAGCACGTTGCTCTAAATACATCTCTGGATAAGGCTGATAGTAATGAAACTGGAGTTTATAGTGTTTGATAACAACTAGTTGCATTGAATACATCCATGGAGAATCTTGCCATCAACTGTTATAATAGATGTTAATCAGCATGCCAATGCATGGCATGATAGATTAGGTCATTGTACTTTGGAGTCTTGAAATAAGCAGTGTAAACAAGCACTTGTTTCCTCCAATATTGGTCATCCAAACTGAGAAAACATGTCAAGTTGCCATTTACTTCTAATGATATGATAGCTTCTTCTCCATTTGAGTTATTTCATTATGATGTATGGGTCCAGCACAATTGGATCTCCTTCCAATTCCCTCTATTATGTGACATTTGCTGATGAGTTCTCTAGATTTACATGGATTTTCTTTCTTAATAAAAATCTCATATGTTTGAGATGTTTAGACATTTCAAGTTGTTTATTGAAAAGCTCTTCCGTAAGAAAATTCTGTACTTTTGAGGCGACGAAGGGGACAATATTCATCTCAAAATGTTTAAAAGTTACCTGAGGGACAATGGGGTAAGGCAATAAATTCTTAATCCTTATACTCCACAGCAAAATGGAGTGGTAGAAAGGAAACATAGACATATAAATAAAATTGAATTATCTCTTATATTTTCTAGTGGAGATCCAGTGCACCGAAGCTTTCCAAACATCAATCTTCTTAATAAATAAACTTCCAATGATGTATTGGATGAAAAATCTCCATACCAAACACTACTTGAAAGAGCTCATGACTTTTTTATCATGAGGAGTTTTGGATATTGGTGTTATGCTGATATTGAAAGTAACCTTATGAGTAAACTTGATCATGAAGGCAAATTCATGTACATTCGTGGATACCTATATGATCATAAAGGCTATAGATATTATTATTCCCAAACAAAAAGAACTTTTATTTTCTAGACATGTAACATTCTATGAGTTGAAAATGTTTTTTCCCTAAAAGAATGATATTGCAAATGAAAGTCTGCATTGAAAGGAAAGAGACAAATGCAAGAATGACAGCAAGCCATTCTTCATAAGTCGACATTAGATGAAGAAATGTATTAGCGATGATGTAGAGAAAGCTAGAGATGATGAATGTTGGAGTTGTGGCCTTTCAAGGCCTTGAACTCCAACATGTTATAGCTTTTGATCACAATGGGAGTGAGCGAGAGTGGTGTGACTCTCGGATCTTGGCACACTAGGACCAAGAGTCACAACCCCGAGTGTCATGAAGCTTGTGTTTGAGTGAGAGGCGTCGAGAGGGTTAAGGGTTACCTCTAGTCAAGGTCGGTTTGTTTTATGCGTCGTGAGTATTTTGCGTTGATAGCCCTTTAGGAGAAGGTTCAGCTCTAAGACAACATAAGCCTAAATCTAGGACCTTGAACCTTCTCATAGCATATCTATAAACAATCGCAAAAGGGAAACCGCCCTTCCATAGTTGATCCACATGGAAGACAAATGCACATGTGCCGAGAGTGGCAACCCCCATTCATTAGAGTGTATATCCTCGGGGGTGCACTTGTAATCCGCTACACCCTGAGAGTCCCATGCCATGTACTGGATTAACTTTGATAAGCCAAGTATGAGCCTCTACCTGACATTGTCGTGCCTCATGGGTTTACTCAACATGGAGATGATGCATAGGTGATGCCAACCCCATGGTGGACTATGTTGCCTTTTATTCAATTGTGTGACGTGCTTTATTTGATTTACGTGAATTTTGGTGACTTTGTTAAATTGAGAAAAAAATTTCTTAGCACATGTTAAATGTGTAGGATTGGTTGGTTGTGCACATGTAGATCTTCTAAAAGGGCATACGGTTTGAAATTATAATTGAAACCCTCAGCCCATATAAAATTGTGCATATAACCTCCTATCCTATGTGACAACATATGGTACACATGTACATCAAATTGACATGAAATTGAAGGGAATTATTAAATTCAAATTGCTTCTAGAATGTGTGCTTAATTACTCTTAGGGGCACGCCCCTACCTATGTTTCTTAATTTTTTATTAAAGTGGAGGAAAATTGAATTTGATGTGAAATTGAATTTAAAATTAATGAACAGAAATTCGAAGTGAATTTAGGGTTTATTAGGAGGATAATAGTGTTAAATCTCATCCACTCATCAAGATGTCATGATGAGTAATGAGTCGCTAGATCAAACCCTCTCTCATACCATGGATGACTGATTAACTCATTTAGAAGAATCTCTACACTTGCTTATAGTTGATCACGTGGCATCCTTTCTCTTTCTAATATGGCACGCCCCACCCATACGGCTTCTCTCTCTTCCATGTTAGTGTTGTTTAACAAGAGAAAGTGGGGAGTGGAGTAAGACCTAAGTGAGAAAAACTGAATTTGAAGCTCCATTAAAGCTTCATCTCAAGCTCAAGCTTAGAGGTGATACCTATCTTCTTGGTGATTCAATTTGAAGGAATGTTTCATTACAGCCCTGTATCTTTGAAGTTTCTTGGGGTTGTAAATCTACATTTAAAACATGGCATCTTAAACTCTTACCTCCTTGATTCATAAGTATTTGAGGTGAGATTGATCATGAAGTTTGAGCCCTTGATTCCTAGCTATTTGAGTTCAATTTTGGAGATATTTTGATTGAGAATTCTAGAGATTTAATTGAATGATTTTGTTTAGATTTTCGATCCAAATTAGTCAATGAAATCATCCCTTTAATGACTTAAATGTTGGGATTTTGTGGCTATTTAAAGGCCTTATGAGAGCATGTAAACTCTTTTTATGTAGTGATGTTAACTCCAGTGGGAGTAGGGTCCGGTGGGACCCATGGGAGCATGTTTTGATATGTAATTCAATCGAGCTTGACAGGCTAGCCTCGAGATGATGTCTAAAACCATATAGCCCTGGGTAGAAGGGACAATCGTGGAAGGTTTGTAGGATTAACCCTCGATGAGGTTAAAGAAAAGGCCATGGTAGTTTATTAGCCAAGGGCCTTTGTGACTCCAGTGTGCGATTGGCAGGTCTGAGAAGACAAAAGCCAAATCCTCATCAATTCCATTCGACAACATACACACATAATAGCCGTGTTTGGGAAGCAACCTGTAGGGGTGTGATATGTGTACGTGCCAAAGAGAGGACCTCTTGCACCATTGCAATGTTCAATATCTTGTAATCCACCGATTAGAGCCAGGTTCTCTTCATTTATTGGCCAACTTTGATGGACCACTTATGAGCCCCTGCAATAGACAATGGGTCATGGGTTCCGATGGGGTGGTTTGCGAAGATGACTGCAGTTCACGGTTGGTAGAACAGATGGACCTCCTCAGTTAATTCACATGATTCTTGACCCAATGGATGCAATTCCCACTTAATTATATTTAAATATATTTTTTATTCAATTACAGATCATTAAAAATATTTTCAAAATGCTTTGTATATTTTAGTTTCTTAAAATGAATTTTTACTTAGCGAAAAAATTGATTTTTACGGTTTTATAAATGCAAAGCTACTCTTAAAATACTAAATGGTCTTCCAAAAATTTTTAAGGGGCTCTAAATTTCTTTGGGGGGCATGGGGGCCCATTTGGAGTAGGCCCCACCATGTGGAAGGTCCAATTTGGTCGGGCGTGGGGCCCTCATGGGACCTATTGGAGTTATGGCCTTTCAAGGCCTTAAATTCTAAGATTCCCATGCTCAGTGGGAGTAAGTGAGAGCTGATGATTCTGGGTGCTTAGTGCACTACGGCCTAGAATCATATATCTCAACAACATGAGGCAATGAGATATATCTGTGAGAGAGAGAGCACACTTTTAGAGGTCGGAAGATCACCTCTAAATCAGGGATATACTTAAATTATATGCCTCATGCATTATGTGTTGGCCAGGGCTTAGAGAAACAAGAAGAGATTAGAATCCAAGTGCCTAGAGTTTAATGGCGCTGCATAAGATGGTAGTGACACATGGAACATTAGTCCATACCCTGACACGAGACCACCCTATGGCATGTGCACCCACAGTCACATGGGAAGCCACTCCTCTAATGTGAGATCCAACTAGGAAGAGCTTGTATACATAATTGCTTAGGGTTATAATGGTAATTTTGTATACTTCTGTAATTTATTCTTGCATTTATTGTTCTTGTTCCCTATACAAATACGTAATTTATTGATTTATTCGTACCTTTATCTAATCTCAATTAATTAGAGCTAGAAACAACATAAATATATATTTCTTCGAGTGTAACCCCTCACTCATAAAGGAATTAGGGTTCAGATGACTCTTCTTTTGGCTTCCACTCAATTCATCTTTATTGGTGGTACCATAATTTGTTGTTCTCTTTCAACTATTCAAGGTGATATTTTAACACTTTGAAGCATTAAAAACAAAATGAGTATGAAAAACTTACTAGCAATGCTCTACTTTCTAATTGTTGTCGCTTTGCAGTCCTCACATTTTCATCGAAATAAATAGCTTCCACATCATACCTGACAATGGACAAAATTTTGAGGAATTTAGACATTTTGCATAGTGATCTGTATATTCAGCCATTGCCAAAAAATCTTCAGTTTAAATTATTGAAAACAATTCACACAGCATTGATGAATTCACCATAAGAGTGAAATAATACAGTAGTCAAACAATGAGAGTTCAAGAAAATAAAAGGGAAAATTATAAATACAACCCCCCCCCCCCCCAACTTTCTACTTCCCACATATCTTACCCCCCATTATTTTTTGTATTATACCCTAAACCCCAACACCATTTTTTCTTATATCTACCCCCCCCAGTCAAATAGTCAATGAGTTTTAGAACCAAAATACCCTTTATTCTCTCTCTTCTCCTTTTGAAAAGATTGGTCATGTGCTACCAATTTGTCTAAAAATGCAGTTTCTCTCTCTACCTATCTCCCATTCTCTCTCTTTACCCGCCCACTCTCTCACATTCTCTCTTTCTGTCTATCCATTCTCACTTTCTGTCTATCCATTACCTCTTTCTCTCTATACCCACCGTCACTCCCATTCTTTCAACACCAAATAATATAAGGCTTGAAAATGCGGTTCAGCACAATTGGTGTTGGACCGAAATTTTTTTTGCAATCTGACACAAAAACATGCCGGACCGCAAAAAAGTTTGCTCCGGCATAAAGTGCGCCGGACCGCATTTTTTAGCCATAAAACTTCTAGAAAGTTGCCGGTCCGGCACATTGTGCCAGATCGAAATTTTTTTCGCGGTCTAGCAAAAACAAATTCGGGTTCCAAAAGTTTTATGGCTAAAAAATGCAGTCCGGCACAAAATGTGCTAGACCGCAAAAAAAACTTTAGCGTGCCAGATCAATAACATTCAAGAAGTTCTATGACTAAAAGATGTGGTCCGGCACAAAATGTGCTAGACCGCGAAATAAATTTCGGTCCAGCACAAAATGTGCTAGACTGCAAACTAGAGAAAGAGAATACGGATGAGAGAGAGAGTTGTTTTGGCTGGGTACGTAGAGAGAGAATACCGATGAGAGAGAGTTTGTGTTCGCTTTTGGGTATGTATAGAGAGAGAGTGAGTTTGTTTTAGCTTGTGGGTAAGTATAGAGAGAGAGAGAGTTTGAGAGATAGAATATACATTAACAAGTTAAAAAGGGCAAAGAGAAAAAAAAAAATAGAGGACATTTTGGTCAAAAAATGGTTTGACGATTTGACTGGGGGGTTATATACAAGAATAAAGAGTGTTGGGATTTAGGGTACAACACAAAAAGCATTGGGGGGTAAGATGTGTAGAAAGTTGAAATTGGGGGGGTATCCATAATTTTCCTTAAATAAAAATCATTAAGGGCAAAGAGAGCACAATAGAGGTAAATAAGTCAAATTAAAAAAGTATGGCAAGCACTATTACTCATACAAGATATCAGTTGAACATAAAAAAAAAAACACAAAAAGCAATGTAAAATTTTGAATACCACGTAAAATGAAGGAAACACCATATATGCAACTAAATCAACAACAGCAAATAAAAACTGAAACCAAGTGACTACTCAGTCACTGTCAAGATCAAGCTAACTTGTCAATTTGAAAAAACCCAATGAGTGTCTCATGTCTTTGAGTGACGGAGAAAAGAAGAAAAAAAAGCTGACGTGCTTTTAGTGGGGATCATGGCACATGTTGGAAATAAAAGGAATAAGCTTTTATTGTATTTGATGGACATAACTGTCATTTATCTTTTGTTTAGCCATTATTTGTCTTATATCTCTAAATAAGGGAACTATTATCCGTAAGTAGTAATTAGGGTAACAAGGTGTTGACAACAAAGAAAATGCCAAACAAATAGAGGAAAACTATTGTGGTACCTAAATACAAGAACAAAAGAGATACAGAATTGTGGGAACTGTCAAAGAATCAAGCTTATGAGCGACACTATGAGGCTCTGGGAAAGAGCAATTGAGCAACAACTAAGGGATGAAACGAGTGTATTTAAAAATCAATTTGGTTTTATGCCAAGAAGCTCAACAACCGAGGCTATTTTTCTACGTAAGTAACAGATTGAGAAGTATAGGGTGAAGGGAAAAGACCTCCACATGGTTTTTATTGATCTAGAGAAAGCTTATGATAGAGCACCTCGAGATTTGATTTGGCGGATGTTGGAAAAGAAAGAGGTCTCTAGACACTACATCGACTTGGTGAGAGATACGTACGACGGAGCGCTGACTAGTGTACGAACAACTAGTGGAGAGATATGTGAGTTTTCAGTGACAATAGGCCTATATCAAGGGTCAGCATTGAGCTCGTACCTCTTTGTTTTAGTTATGGACGACCTAACTAGGCACCTATAGGATGAGGTACTTTGGTGCATGTTGTTTGAAGATGACATAGTTTTGATCAATGATACCCGAAATGACATCAACACAAAGTTAGAACTTTGGAGGAATGCTCTAAAATCAAAGGTTTTAAAATTAACCAGACTGAGACAGTATATGGAATGCAAGTTTAGTAATAATGGGAGTAGAGAGGAGGAAGCAGTTAACATTGACGGCCAAAAAATACAAAAAAAAATACTGCACTTTCGATATCTTAAGTCGATAATCCAAGAAAATGGAGAGATTGAGGAAGATGTTGAACACATAATTAGAGCTGGGTGGATGAAGTGGAGATGTACAACTTGAACTTTATGTGATCACCGCATACCAATGAAGCTGAAGGGCAAGTTCTATAGGACAACTGTGAGAGCTGCTTTGCTCTGTGGGGTGGAATGTTGGGCAGACAAAAACAAGATGCCCATAGAAAGAGTGTAGCGGAGATGAGAATGTTGAGATGGATGAATGGCAAGACAAGAAGGGATAGAATTCGCAATAAATCCATTCGGAAAAATTTAGGTGTGGCACCAATAGGCGATAAGATGAGAGATAGTAGACTTAGGTGGGCAGGCTATGTGTGGCACCGATCCAGTACAACAACTGTTAGGACGTGCGAGCTAGTACAAGTGGAAAGATTGAAAAGGACAAGGGATAGGCCTAAAAGGACGTGGTTGGAAGTATTCTAAAAAGTTATGGGGACTTATAGCCTCAATGAGGGAATGGTCTTTACTAGAGCAAAATGGTAGACCAGGATTTGTGTAGCCAACCCCATTTAATTGGGAAAAGGCTATGATGAGGATGATGACTTAATGTTATAAGAGGGGTAGCGATCACAAGTGACCTCTACGCCACTCTCTTTCCCTCTCTATGCCTCTATCTCTCACACATCTCTGTCTCTCCCTTTTATTATTTCATCATCTTTATTTTCTTTCCTCTCTTTCTCTCTCTACATCCTACCAAACTGTTTGCTTCTCTACTTTAATTTCAACTTGGTATCAGAGCTAAAAGATGAAATAAAGGGGTTGATCTTCAAAAAGGTACACAGGACTGTGTTTAGGGCTGACATCATCCTTTGGATTAGATGATGTCAACATGCCCTAAAAAAATGCCAACTTTTTTTTTCCAGTAGTAACTGTGCCAATGGAGGTTAGTTTTTTTATGATTCTGGATAACAATTAGATATTTATTCGAAACCCTAGTTGTTGGATGGATTAGGTTTTGTATACCCCAATCAAAGAGAATATCGCGAGTGTTGTTTTTTGATGTTTTTTGGGAAAATGGGGAGTGTGATAGATCTGAGGGTGTAACTTGATTTGTAAAACTTTTATTTTGAAGAGATCAAAAGGTGTAACTTGATCTCAATCGGTGATTAAGATATGAGGTTGTAACCAGATATTAACTAAAGCAGAGAATGTCTTTATAAGCATCAAATATGAAGTTATCCATACCCCAAATCACCACAATCAGGTTTGAGGAAACCAACTATTTAAAATGGGCCATTTCAGGTAGACTATTTTTGGATGAAAAGAGAAAACAGGATACATTGATGGCTGTGTGAAGAAACCTGACCTGGAGGATACTAAATATGCAAACTGGGAGGCTGAAGATATGGCTACTACGCATCGGATAATATTTTCTATGCAGCCTAATATGAGTCGATCCTTTATGAATTACAATACCTCTAAGGAATTATGGGAAGCAGTCTCTAAGTCCCATTCCTAAAAAAAAAATATTGCAAGGGTTTCTAAATTGGAGCAGCAAATCAGTGATTTTAAACAGGATCACTGGGAGACTATTAATGCTCATTTACGTAGTCTTTGGGATGAACTAAGCAAACATCAGCCTATACAATGTTCGAACAGAGAGAGGCTGGAACAAAGGAAGATTTTTTATCTTTTGAGGGGAGTTAATGAAGAGTATTAAACAATTAGGGCAAATGTTATTCATGGCGAGATTTTGCCATCACTTGATACATTTTTTTCCCTTGTTCAGCGTGAAGAAACTCGACGCAAGATAATGGCAATGTTTATGGGTGAAACTGAAAGATCCGCCCTATTCACATATGATGTGAATAGCGGGAGTTTGAGGTAGTGGAGGACGTTTTGGGAGCCATAGTGGAGTCAGAGGTAGTGGATGTGGATGTGGAAACCCCACATCTGATGAGAAGGACAAATTAAAGTGCACCCACTATGAGAAGACTTGACACACAAGAGAAACATGTTGGGATCTGGTTGGATGCCCATGGGAAAATGTTTCAAGGGAAAATTCAACAACAATCAATAAAAGTACTGCCCTAGTTACTAAAGGGCAGAAAGATACCATCTCATTTGAACCTCAAGAAGAGTTGGTGACTATTCCTAAAAGAGTTCTCATAGATCTCAAGCAGCGGGCTTCCATTCAAGACCCTTCATCCTCCTCTAAATCTCACAATTCACAATTGGGCATATGTATGTCAGCACATCATATCTCTATATAAAGCTCTAAAACCCCATGGATTATTGATTTTGGAGCAACTGAACATATGATTGGTGTGGCTGATTCTTTTTTCTTCTTATATCCCTTGTTCTAGTCATGAATTAGTTAAAATAGCAGATGGTTCTCTTATTCCAATCAAGGGAAAGGGAACCATACATGATACTCCTAGTAACTTGTCATCCACCTTGAATGCTCTCAATCTTTCTAGTAACCTCCTGTGAGTTAGTAATCCCATAAAACCTAAACTGCAGTATAACTTTTTCCCTTCTCACTATGTATTCCAGGACTTGATGACAAGGAAGACATTTGGGCATGGTCGTGAAAATGAAGGGTTCTACTTTTTGGAGTCTTGATTGTGCTTTGACTGCAGCTGTCACATCTTCAATTGCTAATAAAGAAAAGTGTATTTGTGGCACAAGCGACTTAGTCATTCATCGTCTTTTACTTAGCATTTTTTAGTTCCTGAATTGTTTAAGTCTCTAGGTCAAGTTCAATTGTAATGTGACTTTGTAGAATTTAATTTCCTATCAATATCAACAAAAAGAGTGATGTTTCTTTCTCTCATATGCCCTCTGATGTGTGAGGTCCTTCACCAGTTGTATCTGTATTTGGATTACGTTTCTTTGCTACCTTTGTGAATAATAATTCTAGATTTACAATTGGCTACCTAATGAAACCCAAAGATAAAGTTGTTAATCTATTCCAAGTCTTTCACAAAATGGTTACAACCCATGTAGGAAAAATCAAACTAGAACAGTTAACCGGACATAGGGCCGAAAGCGGTCACTCGATACTAACATGTAAACTAGCTGGTTCAACAGGTCTAACCAAGAAAGTCTTAGGTAGTCAAAAAAGTATCTGAAAAGTATATTTAAAGCATGAGTAAACAAAGCACATCCAAATGAAGTTGACAATTAATGAAAACTATGAATTTTAAAGAATCAATTTGTGCCCAAGGTTATTTTTGAAAGTTTTCAGAAAAGATGGGAAAATGTAAAAATAAGTAGTAATGGCCAAAACAATTCCCAATCTTTATCAAAATGATAAAATACATTCAAATGCATTACAAACAAAATCCTTTATTTATTGGGATTTTATATAAAGTTTTTTGAATTTTTTTTAAATACCCGGTCGGTTCACCAAAAGCGGCTGAAACCAGAACCGACCACTGTCCGGTTCTGATCTAACCGAGCGGTTCAAATTTGAGCCGCCTGATTTTTCCTACACTGGTTAAAACTCAAAATGATGCACAAATTAAAGTCTTGCGGTTTGACAATGGGATTGAGGTCAAAGATTATCTTCTTGATCAAGGGATTGAGGTTCAAACAACTTGTCCATATACACCTCCGCAGAATGGTATAGATGAGAGAGAAAACAAACACTTATTGGAAGTCAGCCGAGCTCTTTTACTAGGAATGGACGTTCCAAAAATTTTCTAGTTTGAAGCAGTTTTCACTACTGCCTTTTTTTATAAACTGTATTGCCCTCTTGCGTTTTCTCGAGAAAAAATCTCCTGCTGAAATTGTTCATCCCAACTCACCCGTGTTCCATGTACCTCCCAAGGTGTTTGGTTGTGAATGTTTTGTCCACATCCCTGGTCCAAAGAGGGACAAGCTTGTAACTAAATCTGCCAGATGTATTTTTCTGAAGTATCCATCTCATCAAAAGGGGTGGGGTACAAGTGTTATGATCTTATTACCAAGGTCCACTATGTCTCCATGGATGTCACTTTCTTTGAATTTGTTCCCTACTTCTCCTCTATAAGTCCTGAGTGCTCTCTTCACAGGGAGAAAAGATATAGTTTAGTGAAGACAGCACATCAATTGTTCCCCTTCATATTCCTACACCACTTTTCTCTGAAGAGAGTGGTTTATCTGAAAGGAATGGTGCACATTCAAAGGAGTTGAAGACGTATTCCAGGAGGAAGAAAATGGTGCGACCCGAAGCTATAAGCGACCATGCCTCTAATGCTAGGCCGGAGTCAAAAATTATTCTGGACTCAAGTAACTCTTCCACCTTCTCACGATATCCTAATTTGGACTTACCTATTGCTATTTTCAAGGGTACACATTTTCGCACTCATCATCCAATAGGAAAACTTCATATCCTACAATCCTGTGTCTCCCTCTTATCATATCTTAATACCTACTCTGTTTTCACTTTCACAATCTCAATGGAAAGCTGCTATAAGTGACAGGATGTGAGCACTTGAGCAAAATAATACATGGGAAATCACTAACCTTCCTGAAAAGAAGAAGGTCGTAGGATGTCGATGGATATTCACTGTAAAATACAAAGCTGATGGTATCATTGAAAGGCACAAAGCAAGATTGGTTGCAAAAGGTTTCACCTAGACTCTTGGTATAGACCACCAAGATACTTTCGCGACTATGGCCAAGTTGAACACTGTGGTGATTATTCTTTACTAGCTACGAATAAATCGTGGCCACTCAATCAGCTAGATGCTAAGAATGCATTCTTACATGGAGACATCCAAGAAGAAATCTACATGGCCATGCCTCCCGATTTGCAAGAAAGGTTTGCAAGAAAAAGAAGGCAACATATGGAATCAACAATCTCCTAGAGCATGGTTTAAAAATTTAATGAGAGTTCTGAATTTTGGGTTCAAAATGAGTCAAGTTGATCATACACTCTCAATGAAGAAGGATACTGCTGGAATTATTGCCCTTATCATGTATGTTGATGAGAATGTTGTGACAGGGGATAATGTGAAGGGCATTGAGGATCTTAAATCTTATTTAAGCAAGGTGTTTGATATCATAGATTTAGGACCCGTTTAGTATTTTTTGGAATGCAGTGGCGATATCAAAGATAGGGATAGTCATCTCCCAGAGAAAATATATGTTGGATTTGTCACAAACAACAGGGAGGTTGAGATAATACATGTAGATGCTCCTATAGAAATCAATCAAAAACTTCATGGAGAAAGGGGAGAGTTACTCAAAGATCCTAATCAGTATCAACAAATAGTGGGCAAGCTTATATATCTCACAATCACTCGACCAAACATTTCTTATGCTGGTTAGCATGGTCAACCAATTTATACATGTATCACGTATACCTCCTTGATGTTGTGTACAAAATATTAAGATATCTCAAGTCTACACTAGGAAAAGGGATATTTTTTCTCAAAACAAGGACATCCTGATGTTGCAGTTTATACTGATGTTGATTGGGCTAGTTGCCAAACTGATAGAATATCCACAACTGGCTATTGTACTTTTGATTTGGGAAACCTGATTACTTGAAAAAGCAAGAAGGAAAATGTGGTGGCAAGATCTGAAGCAAAATATAAAGCAGTGGCTCATGGTACATGCAAAGTCATGTTGATCAAAAGTCTTTTTTTGATTTGGGTGTTAGAGTTAAACTTCCCATGATTCTATATTGTGACAATGAAGCAGCCATTCATATCACAGAAAATCAAATTTTTCATGGAAGGGAATAACACATATAAGTAGATTATCACTTTATCAGAGAGAAAGTTGTTGCCACGATTACTCAGACTCATGTGAAGTCTAAAAATCAATTTGCAGATATCTTTACCAAAACCGTTGGACAAGACAGATTACATGATATCACAAACAAGCTGAGCATGATTAATATTTGTGCACCAACTTGAGGGGAAGTGTTAAAAATAAAGGAATAAACTTTTATTTTTTTTGATGGACAGAACTGTCATTTATCTTTGGTTTAGTCGTTATCTGTAAGCGCTTGTAAGACGACCTTCAAAGATAACATCATCCAAGATGAGCTAACAGACAAATTTACCACGTGAGCTATGCCAGTGAGTTCTAATATTCATAGACAACCACTAGACAGTCCCCCATATGTGTTGGGGTCTTCTTCTTGAGATCCATAGTCTCTAAAGTTCCAGTTTTCAACTTATAGTAGTATCAACATGATGGGGCCAAGTATAATAAAAACTTACGCATCCAATATTATTTGTCAAACGCCCATGGGGTGGACTTCCTTTTATAAGCAAGCCACATGGAAAGAAGAGTCTTCCACTTAGTGAGCGAAGACAATGGGACAAATCATATGGTCAGGGATAGTGGGAGTGAGCCACCATATGAGATCATGTCCCATAGAAGTCCACACGAGAGAAGTCCTAATATGAGGTGTGAGATTGAGGATGATGCCCTTGTGTGCATTTCTATAGATGATGATGAGCTAGCTCATTGAAGCCATTAAATCCATCTGTTGTAGACATGGATGGCTGCAAGGCAAGACATGATAGATTCCATGAAGCGGAACCAAGCTTAAGAACTCGTAGATCTGCACCATAACAGGACAATGACAAGGGAAAATGTGTCCTCAACATAAAGAGAAAGGCGGATGGAACCATGGATAAGTTTAAAGCCCATTCGGTGTTGAAAATTTCTTCCAAAGTTGAGGAAGTGGACAATGCGGAGAGGTGCTCCCCATTGGTGAGGATTGTCACAATATACAACCTCTGTAAGTAGAACCGCAGTGTATTTTGCTTTACATTCCATAACACCAAGCAATAATATACAGAAACAATAGTGATTACCATGTTCATTTGCATCATTTGCAGACCACATCTAGAAACTTAAGATTTTCCTGGAAAACAGGTAGCAGGGTTCAAGGAAAATACAAAAGTACACAATAACAGAAATTGGTTACAACTATGCTGGTCAGACAACAATTTTACCCCGAATAAAAGGCATCAGATTAATGCACAATTTACTAAAAAAATATTCACTTGCATTATTTTCTGTCATACTCAGGAGCTGAATGAAAGAAGCACGAGATTTTTCAGTTCGAGAGAAAAGAGCTTACCCAGAGAAACATGCATCAAGAATAGAGCTAAGCTTCTTTCCGAAACCTGGCACGAGACCAGAGTTCGCTGCTTCCTCCAACTGATGCCACTCCTGCAATTGGAATCGTTTAAAGAAGTTAGTGTCTCTTTTTCGTGAAGGTTGGTTTTTCTTTGTAAAAAACTTCAAAGGTTGAGGTTGAACCCTAACCTCGCTCATGCCGGATGTTTTACCAATAGGCTAGTGCTTAACTGACAAAAAACAAAATCAGTCACAGCTGAAAGGCATCACCTACCTCACTAGCAGACAAATGGGCTAGCTTTTCGTTGGCAATCTCTTCACAGCGAACGGCAGCAACCATCACCTAATCAATGAAAACATAGAAAAGGGTACATTAATAACCGGAACCATCCTTTTGTCATTTTAAATAAAAGGCAAGATAGAAATGCCCACCTTGTGTGCAGGAAGATCTAAGTCCTTGTTCTCCCGTATTATTTTCCAAATTTGTTGTGCACTGAAAGAAAATCCTGAGGCTGGAACAACTGCTCGTCTATCACCAGCCAATCCACCAGGAGCAATAGAATGATAAAATCTCTGCCTCAGATGCATGACCTTCCAATACAGAGATATATTGAACAATTGAGAATACAAAGTACACAAACTAGTCACAAAAGCAGAGAAACCTGCCTATTCATTCATCCTACGTTGCTTCTACAGATCTAATGTAACATTAAACTTCAATTGACTCAAAATCAAATCTATGCTTGATGTATTTTTCAAGCTCAATCGTAATGTACCTGTTGTCAAGAGCATCCAAGAGGCCAACCATCCTAGCATTACTCTTTAACAAGCACAATTAACTTAATGCACAAATGGTATCAAATGCAATTGCCTGTTGAACACCCCCAACAAAGGAAATATGTTACCTGTTCTTTAAATTGCTCTTCCTTCTCTTCATAACTGGAAAGAGCCACAACTTCCACCTGGATATTTTAATTGAGGAAATTTAGTCAAACTATGGCCTAAAATCATGCATAAGAAACAACAAAATGTGTATCAGCTTCACCAAAAAGCGTTATATCTTACATTAAAAAATTCACTAAGGGGAGTTTCTTTGTGAGCCTGTGGCTTCGGAACAGAGTCCCATATCTGCAGGATATTGAGATTTGGTAAATGAATGGTGACAATAATATGATCTAAACTGAGGCCCTACGGACGACGATACCTTCTGGATATCTTCTCGCAGAACTGGTTCCAAATTTTCCAATGGTGTCTACAAACAAAACCAGAAATCTGATTTCATAGTATGCACAAAATAAGAGAAAAGCAATTTCCTATAAAAATACAGATGTATCCAAAGTATTCAATTAGGTATGTACATATTGTACACGTACTAGGTCATTGTCCAATGTTTAGCCATTGGTGTTCGCATATTCTTTATGTTTACCTCTCCTTTTCAAGTGCTAAAGCAGGTCTACTCTTCAATAAATCAAATGAACAGTATAAGGGTTACAAGAACCATAGCATCAAAGGCAGAGATACACAAGCACAAATTTCCTATCCTTGATATTGGGGCACGCAAAGCAACATTCTTCTAAATATCTAGGGGTTCTGCAGCTTACAAATCAGATGTGTGCACTGAGCTGCAGAACTTTTCTTTTTTTAGTGGTTTGTTCATGAATACAACTACTATTCCCCAGTTCTATAAGAGTGATACCTTTTGATCCAGCATTTAACACTTATGTCCCCCCACTGTACGACCATTTTATGTGAGCAGTCTTAATCCTATCAGACCTTATGTTTAAGATATTTTGAAAAGCTTAGATGCAATAAGAGGTTTTATTGCACATGCCAGACTTCACTTGTGCCTCCTGAAATCTGGCCTGCCATGAGCCCATGGGCCCTCTACTGTATCTTTTGACATCTGAAAGAAATAGATGGTTCAAGAGAGGTAGAATACTTTTCACCTCACTTGAAATGAGCCCAATGAGTCAATATAAATAAAACAGAAATAGAAATAAGCATTTTCAGCACAAACTCTTGTGAATACTCTGGTTTCGCAATCATTATGACTTAAGAGTGAGGTTGTTCTAGTTTTGTTATTATGACGACTTTGTGACAGTTCAGTAATTTCTCTCTGTGTAATACTTTGCTCCATGTAATACTTTGAAAAGAGGTTTTAGGCCTTACTTGCAAAATGAAACATGTTTACCACAAGTTTAACACAAGCTAAAGGTACCAAAATCAAAGAAATAGATAAATATCACACCTTAGTCTTATCTCGGATAACAAATAACAATGTTGTTCTGCGAGGACTAAACAACCGCATCATGACCTGTAATGACAAAACCACTAAATAAGTATGATAACAACTTATGGCTATTGTTTATTTGGACAAAACATATGAATGCACGGATACCTGAAACACTGTCTTAAGGAGAGGCTTGTTGGCAGCTTGCTCACGGCCAATATCATGACACCACCTTAATGATCAAGGATAAAAATTGAAGAATCAAATGAAAATAACTCAAGCTATCATGTAAAATGTATCTTCCATAGCTAATATGAGGAGAAACTTAATACATCCACTAGCATTGCAGACTATGAAGCAAAATGTTGGACTATTTACAACTTGAACTCACATATTTATGAGCACTATATCAGAAACAGCCAAAGCAAAAAGTGCACTCTGCTTCTCAAAAGTTGTATCATCCTGAAAATATAAAGAGAACCAATTTTATGTGAATGCACATCATAGAATTCCAAACATTTCAAGAATTACAAGAATCAAACTCAAAAGTCATCACACAATAAAAAAAATCCCATAAATTGGATCAAACATAATGGAATTCAAAAGACATATATAGGTGTTTGTGAACAAAAGAAAGACATTACATGATGCACCAAAGGAAGAGGTTCTAAAATAATGAGATATTTTTGATTCTATGAATGGTTTGCACACACATAAATCCATTTCAGAGGGACTTCATAAATATTTTCACAGCAATCCAGGCTTTTTAGGGGCTTTTCCTACCGCCCTAACATCTGCTTGGCTCCATCCTATTTAAATTCTAACTGATAGAAGAGGAAGGAAATTGCCATTTATTATCAATAAGAAACCTTCATAACATCTAATTCAAGGTTTCCACTTCATAGCCCAAAGATATGCAAAACTAAAGTGAAGCATACGCACCATTTTTCCCCAGTGCCATTAAGTAAAAACAGTTTCAACCAAATACTTCATCACATACTACAATATTATTAGAGATATTGTACACAAAAAATAATATAATTCTAACACAAACATTTATGTGGTACATAACACAAACAATTGCAATTTGGGTATTCATGTATATCAAACTTGCACTATGAACGGATGTGGGCTTGACTGAAAGTTGGACAGGGTGAACTAGCACGATACATGTGGTTTTTAATTTTTCTCTTTTTTATTAGGAGAACACTTACAGAGAGATCCAAATACCACAAAACAAACTAAAATAAACAATGATGAATCACAAAATGGATTCTCACTTGCTACCATTTAACAAAATTCTTTAATTACAAGAATAAAAACCGCATAAAACTCTCTTGGAACAAGAAGCACAAACTGAATAACATAAAAATAAAGTACAAAAAGATACCTCAACTGGACTTGATACACCCTACTCTAGTCTCCTCCTTCGATGCAGCACGGGATCAAGATCTTTCCCAAATCTTATAAGTATGGAAGCCTAGGCTATGAACCCTTATATCACAGAGAGCAAAGTGGAACAAAACTAGGCTCAGGCTATGGCATGGAGCTTACCTACTCAAAGCTCAAGAACTGGGGCATGCCCCCTTTTTTTTTTCTTACCAAATATCTCTAATTCTTAGAGAGGTTTAGAGATCGGAGAGAGAGGGAGGGAGAGAAAGAGAGAGAGAGAGAGAGAGAGAGAGAGAGAGAGCTAGGGAAAGGTATAGAGATTTGGGATCCCCATAGAGACTATTTATAGATTCAGACTCAGGTTAGAGTTTTCTAGGGTTAGCCATCCTTTTTGAGAATAGATCCAGACCATTGATCATAGGAGACATGTGGGGGGAGAGATCTTAACCTTACAATCCTTAAATCAGCCATCATGATTAAAAAGAAGGTGCTAGAACCTTATCCTTCAGCTTCCTTAATCTAATCCCATCAAATATAAATAATATGAAAAATACATTTCTCTTTTTATTAGTTTTCATATCTCTCTTACACATACTTTTTTGAAAAGTCAATTAGCCTTATTACAAAACCTTCCTATTTTGTTTTCAATCAAAATCTCTGCAAAACACTTTCCAAAAATTTCAATCAAAGGGCCATGGCTTCTTTCCCAAGGCCCTAAAATAGGAAATGCAGGCGTGCATAGAGCCCCAAGTGGGCCCCATGCACCTCACCCACATGCAATAGTTAAATGGGGCCCATGGATTGCAATAGACCCCCAATTGTATAGATATTTATAAAATTAAGAAAATGATTTTTAGAAATCATTTATTATTTTAAATTTCTTTTTGAATATTAAAATACTAAAAATTCATAGACAATTTATAAATCTATTTTGAGAAAATAAAATATCCAAAGATGTCTAAAAATTCATTCTATCAATCTAAAAATTATCTAAGAATAAATTAATTAACTCTAAATTAATCTGATGGTATTTGGATCCAACTATGTTAAGGAATATTAAAATTACTGAAGCACTTCATCTTCTATTATGGACTATAATCTACACCCACTTTCTCAAAGTGACCTAGCAATTCCCATGACCCACAGACCATCCAAGAATTCATGATTGGGCTACCAAAGTAAGCCAATAGGTGCGGGACATAATTCTAGTCTATGGATTACAAGTTCGCCCCTAGGGCCAAGTCCAAGGTCGCCAAATCCAAGGTCACACAGACCTGTGTACACACAACTCTGTGGTGCATATGGGAATTATCTCTCACACATGTACACATATCACCTTCAATGGTATTTGCTTCCCGATGCGGCTATCATGTGTACATGCCATGTGATGTTTTTAAGATGAGGCTTTGTCCCTCGTCCCTACAGGCCCACCAATCATACACAAGGGTCACACATCCCCTTGACTCACTACCCTGGGTAACTCTGAAGTCTCGGCAGCAATATTGCTGACCTTGGTCCCTCTTGACCACACTCCCACTGGAGTTTATTATTCTACTATAATATTCTGATTGCATGCTCTCGTAAGCCCTTTAAATGGCCACAAAATCCCAACATTGAATTACAAGGGTGAGTATTTCAGAGGTGCATTTGAAAGCCTAAACAAATTCATAATTAGTACCAACCAAGGCATAAACAATTTTTTTTGGGGCTACTATGTTATATTTTAACAAGGGACTTCTTCCGATACAAAAAGGAACAGTATTCAGCAACAAATCCTCTTATTACATGGAATTTGAGAGCTACACCTAAGTCAAACTTCAACACTGTACTCTTGTCTAGGAAACATAGAAAATAGAGTTTAAATATTCACGTCACATGCAAAAGAATAATTGCTAAATGCTTTATTTCAAAATGCAAAAATGAAAAATAAAATAAATTATTTATATGTTAATGGCTCATTATATTGTCAAAATGATCTATTTCCATGAATTCTTTTATTACAAGACTATATTTTTTAACACAAGAATGTACATGGACCATATCCAATGAGACTAATTACTTTTCATACTGAAAAGTAACAACACCTTGAGACATCAAATGTGAAATCAAACAGCTGGTATATCATTCTACTGCTCAAAGTCCAAAGAAAATATTCCTGTACTTTGAGCGTAGTCAGAGATACACCAGAACAACTTGGTGTCTTCTTTCTTTTCCATATGAAACACAACAACTTGGTGTTTTCTTCCTTTTCCATATGGAAAGTAACTGGCCTCATTGAATACCTTCCCCACTTGTTATCATCAGCATCTTGACATATATATATATATATATATATAGGAAAATGCTAAGATTAGCCCACTAACTCATATGAACATATGAGCCTAATGGCCCAGATTGAATCTGGGAGGATTTGATGGTCACGACCTCATTTTATGTTCGAATTTTAATTTTTTTCTACAAATCCAAATAACTTGAAATTTTAGGTGTTTATTCTTCTCATCAAGATGCACCTAATAAAAATATTTTCAAAATAATTTGCAATAAACAAATTGACCAAAATACCTCCGAATTGTTTGAGGGGTATTTTGGTCAATTTATTTCTTGCAAATTATTTTTTTTGATATTTTTAGTAGATTCTAGGCCAATCTAACGGTCAGGATTGTATTTCGATAATATAAATTTAATATTTTTATATAAATCCAAATAACATGAAATTTGGAGCATCAACTCTTCTCAACAAGGCGCACCTAATAAAAATATTAAAAAAATAATTCGTATAATATAAATTGACCAGAATACCCCTGAAACTTTTTAGGGGTATTTTGGTCAATTTATTTTATGAGAATTATGTTTATTAGATTCCACTATTTTTGAAGAATAGACACTCCAAATTTAAGATTTCAAGTGATTTGGATGTGTAGAAAAAAAATTAAAATTCAATTACGAAATACAACCGCGATCATTGGATCGGCCCAGATTCAATCTGAGCCACTGCCCTTACATTGTTCCATCATCCCATGGACTGACAGAAGCATTTTCAATATATATATATATATATATATATTGCGCCATAATGTCATTCGCAATGGATTGTTTTTTCTTAAATTATCAATTTATCTAAATTTTTAAGCTTTTGTATTTTTAACTTCTTTCAATATCTCTCTAGTTTTTAGGGTTATTCACTTTATTTATTTCTTTATTTTCTCTAACTATTCATTTAGGCAGCTCAATTGAGGTGAATGTTTAGATAGGAATGTCCACCAGTTCAAAGGCCACTCCAACCTCAATAAAGTTGAAACTTTTTTAACTAACTTCCTCTGTCTCAAAAGCATTATCATCTTGTCGTACAGGATCTCAAAAAATAGTTTTGGAGTATATACATAATAAAGCCATCCCCTTGTTAACAAATGTAAGTTTTCACTCCCAAGCTCCTCCATCCAGTCCTCAGACTTGCATTATCTAAACATGTAGGAGGTCAATTGAGAATGACTACTTCCCTCTTGGAAACATCTTAAAGTTCATTTAAGTGTCTTGATGGGAAAACAAAAGAAATGTGATGGGTTAGTCTTATGCAGGAGGCAGCATTAGCCAGAAGTATTTAAAATCAAATTCATTTCTTCTAACAAAGAAATGAGTCATCGATTTCATTTTTTAAAATGTTTACTACTTCTACAAGGTAGATATTTTAAATAATTCCAAACTGAAAGGGTGTGTGTTTATTAAATGCAGACCTACAAGATAACTATTATAATGATGCTGAATATCAAAGTACAAGAAAATTAAGTAGTTTGCCATGACATAACAATGGCATATTAACATGACACCCAGATTCTGAATGTAAACAATAAATACATTCAAACTAGTAACACAAAGGTAAGCAAAATCACCTCTCCTCTCTCACGTCCATCGGTGCCCTCTAAATCCATTACTATTGTACAAGGGTCAACATCCACACACTTCGCTAACCAAATGCCTTTAGTTGTTTGACTCCTGAAAGTAAAGAGAGGCATCCTGGTCATTGCCTTTCATTAGAAACTTTTATGCTAAATTATTCGTACATACGGAATAGGAAAATATTCTAATAAGAAATGGAAATCACAAACAAGAAACACTTACCGCCCCTTAAAGGCATTCATTTCCCTAAAATTGGTATGGAAAAGATTGTTCAAAAGAGTGCTTTTCCCTGCTCCAAAATATACCAATTCAACACTTACAAGCAGACCATTGAGTTCAAAGGGAAAAAAACCATTATAATGGCAAAAAAAAACTTTAAATTCTCAACATAATTCCACATAACAAACAGCAGAAATCATCTTATGCAAGGGAACAGAAGAAAAAGTACTAATTAAATTACATCAATGGTATCCAGCTCTACACAAAACAACCAAACATAATTTGTCCATTTCAAATCTCAACAACAAAACCACTGGATCACATTTCTAGCACTTGACTGGTGCAAAACCGGCACCAGGGAAAGAGAGATCCAAGACCGATTTCAGAATAGTAACTCAACAATCATGCTAGTCAATCAATCAAGGATGAAATCTCTTGATCACCATGAAGGACAGGAACTAAGGGACTTTCAGGACTATTTCTTCCCACTAAACCTAGTAGAGCCATTCCAACTCACAAGTTGGACAATCTCTCTCTCTCTCTCTCTCTCTCTCTCTCTCTCTCTCTCTCTCTCCACACCAACTTGGAGGATAAAAATTCTATATCTTTTTCATTCATCAACAACTACTACTACTATTTTATAAAAAAAAACAACTACCACTACTATTACAACCAAGGTTTGAAATAACAGATTGGTGACCCCGATCGACCACCCCAAAAACCGTGTCAGATTGACGAATAGGCGAACCAGAGCAAAAAACCTGGCAAATCGACAGGTTTTGGCCCAAAACAATTTTCAAAAAATACTGAAAATCGTTATAAATAATATTATTTAAGTTTTTAAGAAAAAATAGGGGTAATGCATTATTAGTTTTCATTAACTTACAAAAATAAGGAAATATTGAGATGGTATTTCCTGTTTGAATGTCTGTTGATCACATTCCAGTTGTGTTTCCGCCCATTATTTCATGGAGTTTTTCTCTTTCTCTCTCTAGAGATGACGAGGAAAGAAATATTGGCTTTGAGCATAGTTATCGGGAGCGGGAGTGGGAACGGCTCCAGATCCGGGAGCAAGAGTGTAGGATCGAGGGCTGCCTAAAGCTCTGGAGCTCGGGGAGCGAGTTCCGGTGAGGGTAAAAGTTGCGGATCGAGATCCCGTATGAACAAGGAGCGCGTTCCCAACACATTGGGATCAAGGTCCTTGTTTAACGGAAACGCGTTCGATGTAAAATGGGATCGTGTTCCTATGCTCATTAGGATCGCGCTCCCATAGACAACAGGAACGAGATCCCATTTAAATTTGAGTCGCGCCCCTATCTAAGAAAAATGTGTTCCTGTTTGGAATAGCTCGAGCTCCATTCGAGGTTGGATCGCGTTCCGCTTAAGTTGGAGCCAATCTCCACTTGTCCTCTCTCTCTCTCCCTCTCTCTATCTCTCTCTCTCTTGACCAGATATTCACCACCTCTTCAACCTCCGCACCCTTATTACAATGGACTCATCTGCCAAAACGTGCCCCTTTCTCTCTAACTTCATGAAAACAATCATCTAACTTCACAATGAGTAGATTCTCTCTCACTTCACAGTGAGTAGATTCACAGTGAGTAGATTCTCTCACTTCACAGTGAGTAGATTCTCTCTCACTTCATGAAAACAATCATCTAACTTCATGAAAACAATCAACCTTCCTTGCTAGCTGTTGGGGACCTCCATGGTGATCTCCAAAAGGCCAAACAAGCTCTGAAAATGGCTAAAATCTCCGATGAAAAATTATTCAATGGATTGTAGACAACTCCATGGTTGTGAAGCTTGGTGATATCCTTGATAGAGGAGGAGAAGAGTTCAAGCTCCTTTATATTTTAGAAAAACACAAGAATTCAAAATTGGGGTGACTGATTTTCTATAGGAATTCAAATGAAAAACCTTTGTAAAGGATTGGAAAAGCAAATTAACAATTTGAATGGATCACCCAAAAATTACCCATCTAAAATTAGGGCTAGAATAGCTGCTTTGAGTCCTGGAGGCCCAATTTCTACGTGTTTTTTAGCTGATAACCGTACTATTTTAATAGTGGGTGGCTCTGTTTTTTTTCATGTTGGCATCCTCCCTAAGGATAGAGTTCCGAGAATGTAGGGATCGTGATCCTAAAATTCTGAGAGCATGGATCTAATTTGTTCTGGAACGCATTCCGTAGGACAGTGAGAGCGAGATCCGTACGATAGCGGGAGCGAGCCCTGTTGTGAATGGAATCGAGAATCCTAAAAATATGAGTGAGCTCCCAAAAAGTTGGGAACGGGTTCCGTACGAGATCCCGGCCACGGTGCGCCGAAGCTGGGTCACCCTAGTTGGTCGCTCTCGGTAACTATAGTTTTGAGGTGGGTCGAAGCTCCTTGCTGTTATGATCTCAATTTTCAAGTATTTGATGTTGTTTGTTATGTGGTAGAGAAAATTTGACATTTTGAGGTGGGTATATGCCATTTGAATTTTAAAATAATAATATGGTAGCAAAAAATAGCCTTTGGTCTTTGTTTCCCCCTTGATTTTGAGCAAAATTTGTTTTATTTATTTCTTAATTGTTTTATTTGTTCTTTGAACTTGGGAGAATTTGATCACTGACGAGCTATTGTCCCTAAATTATGCATGCTATTGAAATAAAGACTAAAGCTGATCCAAATTTGGTTGATTGAATGGGAATGCATTATGGCGATGTGTTGCCATAAAAATAGAATTATATTGTGCCACTATATCATAATTGTTTTGTTTGAAACGTGTAAATACTTCTTTTAAGTTTCATAGTTATCTAATACCTTCTCAAAGCATGCATCTAAGTATTTTTAAAACCTTAATGCTATAGTTCTCGATCTTGAAAAAACATCTGTTATGCTATTTTAAAACTGTGCATGGCTATTTTCACACTATTGTTCAACAATCGAACACCACCCAGCGCCAGTTATATATATTGTATAAAAAATAAAAATTAGGTATTTAGAGCACGTCATAAATCAAATTTTACTACACATTAGTATTTAACGCACACTCCATAAGCATAACCATAAGTTGGAAACTCCATATCCAATTAAAACTTAAAATTTACCAACCAACCAAATTACCAAACCAATGGAAGAACAAATCCATTATCCACAATACACCAGTATAAAACATCAAAAAATAAATCTCATATCAATGGGTGATGTTTTGATCATTTTTGTTAACTTTGATAAACCTTTCGATCCAAAAGAATTCACCGAAAACTAGTTTTTTTGGGTCTTTCTCTCTCTAAAATGGGCTCCAATAAGTTTTAGGTTTCACATGAACCTAAAACCGCAATTTTTGGCCCTTTAGTACAAAAAAAATGGATCAAATATGCCCCCACCGAAACCCATTTCCGCCTCTAGGCGGGCACAAGCCCTGGGCCGCCCAATGCTGGGCAGGTTCCGTACTGCCTAAACGGCCGCCCAGGGTCGGCCACACAGTTTGGCCGCCTGAGCCTAGGCGCCTTCTGGACCGCCTAGGCGGTCTAGGCACTGGGCAGTCCGCTTTTTAAATCATTGGTGCAAAGAAAGCTAGATTCAATCAAATATGGCATGTTTTGATGGTTCGTGAAATCTTTTTGGCCTCTTTTATCTATTTTCTGCATCAAACTCCCTTGAACACCATCAAGGAAGGAAGGGAACTAATGGGACTTTCAGCCCTGTCATGCCACCACAGTAGTGGAGGCTTTCTAATCCAAAAGTTGGACAATCTCTTTCTTTTTCTCTCTATACGAAGTCGGATGATAAGATTTCTACTATTTTTCATTAATCAACTGAAACTACTACTAATGCCCCTTACATGCGAACCCACACGAGAACCCTAAACAATGACCAAAATACCAATAATGTAATTGAAAAACAACTAAACTTCCCCTATACCCTATTTCCCATACAATTAATTAGCTTGCATTCAAAAAAACACACTCAACTTCCCAAGAGCCTTCAAACTTTAACTCTAGGACTCACAATGTACCAGCCATGGAAACTCCACAACACCCACTAATTCTTTAAACACAAATAACTCACTACGACTTCACCTTACCCACTCTCTATTCTAGATTTCTTGCTTAAACCCAAAATTACCCACAGATGACAAATTACAAAAGATATCCCTAACAATCAAAATAATTCCAGAATTGTCCAAGGTAACAAAGTAGAAAAATGACAATTTAGTCCACTCCTAGATGCAGTTTGCATCATCAAATTGTACCCTAAGTAGAATATTCCCTTTTGCTAACTTCTACGAGTTATTAAAAGGTTGGACACATATAAACTGGTGGGCATGGCATGAGAGAAAATAGATTCCATGGGTATTTCCATGGTTACTCATCTTCTGGAGATCAGATCATTCAAATAATGTTCTTGAACTATTTCATTTTATATGCAATAGCCCATGTATTGCAGAGATACTAGAAGCCACGTTCTATTACAGGGTGGAGCTCGACAGTTCATTGGTGATTATTATGGGAACTTCTATTCATTGTCTTTTTCTTCCACTCCCCACTCAAGCTCCCTATCCAAATCCCGTCACAGAGTAAGCTTCTAAACCCATGGCGAATGTGAAAATCTCATGGAACTTTTACAAATTAGAACAGTGCACAATTTCAAAAGCACTATGGAAGAACTAAATGCAAATCACTAGAAATTAAGATGACCTTTCCTGCATGGCATCGTGTATGACAATACTCCAATACCTTCAGCACAGTAGACTTCTCAAAGAAAAGAGAACATTTGGTATAAAAACCATATCATAAAGTTTCAAGCCAAAAATGATCCAGCTTGTATGAACAAGTTAAGAAAATGTGAGAGAGTGCATAACATGGATATGGAAAAGATATTGTACCCGTAACCAAAAATCACTTTCTTGAGATTCTGCAATTTAGGGCCACCCAAAAATCACCAAACTGCTATTTTTTCAATAGTTTTTTTTGTTAATACCAAAATTGAGTGTACATGATCAATGTATAGATTAGCAAAGAGAATAATATTTCAAATAAAACTCAAGAAACCTTGCAGAAAAGGTCAAGTTCATATGATAGCTTCGGGCATACAAAAAATGTATCTGATTGACAATGATGTAATGAATTATTGCAGGGTATACTTTCCCAGAACAGATGTCAATTTTGACATATGATTACAATAAGACGAGTTCACTTTGTGGTTGTGGATGTAAGTAAAGATACAGAACTTCATGACAAGAATGACCCTATCTATATTGATGCATTATTGTCCAGTACAAAGAGAAATTGAAAGGACAATGCGTGCTATTTCACATATGGCTACCGAAATAATTACTCCAAGTCCCGTAAGAGCATCCAAGTCTCATAAGAGTGGTTTTCTTTTAGAATATATACATTCCAAAAGCATACTAAGATATTGATACGTAAGAGCATGGAAAATGAAACAAAAACCATAAAGAAGTGGTGAAACAGCTTCTATGGATAATGTTGTTGGGCTATCCCTAAGGACACAGGCAGAAAATGAATGCACCAAGAAAGCATACCACTACTTTGAGGACCCATTATGGACACAACAGCATAAGAAAGACCACTTTCACCCAGTTTCACAGTCTTCATAAACTTATCAAGACCAGAAACATTAAAGTCTCCATCTCCATCAATGAGCTGTGTGGAGCAGCATTCCTCACCCATTTCTGGAAGATTAAAAATGAACACATCAGTCAAGGAGTAATTGAAGATTACATTTGTTACAATGCAGTATCCAGGGACATCACTTATTCTTCTGTAAGAATATTAACTAACATTGACATATTCCTCAAGCATGAACAACACCAACTCAATGAAGCTCTACATTTCTAATTGCAAAATGCGCTAGCCTAAATCAGACAAAAATTGGGCAGGCAGTTATGCCATAGATCCAATTTAAAAGGTGATACTCCATACAAACCATCCATTCATTATGATAAAAGAAGCAAAAACCACTATATAAGTAACAAGAACCACAATATAAATAACAGGTGGGCAATAATATCTTATCTCTTAAGAATAAGGAACCAAAATATGAACAGAGGTTATACACTATTGAAATTTCAAGACCTAAATGCACTTAAGATGACATGCTAGAAAGGTACAGATAGAATGGTAGCTGAGATGGAATGGTTCAAAAGGAGTTTGCATGAGATATTGGGAAAAAGAAGATAGAGACTTGAAAATGATCAGGAAAAAAGAAAAAAGAAAAAAAAAAAGAAGAAGAAGAAGATGGATTTGAAATTATTCTTCAATAATAAGAATCCAAGGCATGCAAAAAGAGCCATTTGGGGAAATGAATGAAGAGTAACGTTTCCAAACAGTACATATTGTTTAGATGGGATAAGAAATTTTAATTCAGGACCTGTTGAATCGCAGCAATTCCATGGCCCCACAAGTAAAATGGCCATTCCTAAGGACTAAAGCCCTCCAATAAATTGCAAGGATTAGAATCCACCATGAACTATAGAAAATAACTGTTCAGCCCTAGATAGGTCACAGGTAAAAGGAGAGGACTCAAAACAGGAAGATACATGAGGATGAATAACTTTCTGAGACATGGAGTGAAATCATGGTGATAGAGCTGTCATTGTGAATGCTCATGCTGATATACCTGCACAAATAATGCTGTCCAGCAAATCACATCTCTCTTGACGGAAATATAAAATCAGTCAATATTTGGAGTTTGAACTGCAGCATTTCACCTAAATCTTTTAGATGAGTCGCCCAGAAGACAGTAATTTCAACCTCTGAAAATAATTGGAAGGAAACTGATGAAAGATCTACCATTTGATTTTTTTTGGACGAGAAGATTCTAGCATTTGATAGGTAATAGAGTGTTCTAAACCATTTGATATCTATCTGATATTAGATTGTGAGCTTCTTTCATGGAATTAATATGTCTAAAATATCATAAAAGCCAGAACCAAGTTATAATGCCCCTTGAAGGAAATGCCATCCCAGGAAAAAAAAATCTTTCCCTCTCCTAACTTCCATGTCATCTGATATGCTTTCAGAAGCCAAATAATCAATACAATATTTCTTGAACCAATTGGATCCATATTAAATACTAGCCTTCGTCTAAATATACACATATACTCATGGTGTCCATCACAAGTCATTCATCGGTACTTATTTTGCCAACTTCCATCCATGGGTGCAAATTCTTCATGTCTAAGCATGCATATTGGACCATAATCTCCTCATCTCCCAAAGTCAGGATGTATGTCTTTGGGTATGTTCCCGAGTCAAGAGATAGTAGTAGATGAAATAGCAGTTCAGAAATGTTGGCAACGATTCTAAGAGAATGCATGTCCCAGGTCAGAACTGCAGAAGGCCATGAATAAAGATCTGGAGCACCACATTCTTTAGAATGACTTATCATCTCTGTCCATTAATACAAAAGCATTAGGCAGTAAGCAACCCTTCCGAAGTCTTGGTTCCAGTATTAAAGGAACAATATCTATGCTCCCATGAAGAAAATTATCCAGTCATATCTCCTAGCCTAAGATAGCCACTCTTCTTAAGCTATCTACAAACATTAACAGAATCATCCTCTATGACCACCAGATTTTCTTTTAGCACTTTCCTCAGTGATCATATATCTCAATATGCTGAGTGAGACATGACTTATTTGCTGAGCTCCTAAAGACCCCTGCAAATTCCAAAAGCAAATAGCAAACCTCATACATCATTTACTGGAAAAGGCTATACCCCAGCACTTGCTCATTGTTTGAGGAGGGCATAAATGCAATTGGACCCATTGTAGGGAGGGGACCAAACAGTGTGGGGAGAGGTAACCGCACCACATCTTTGTCCAATATCCCTTTCAAGGAGAGACCCTTTCTAGAATTCTTTCCAGCTCAGAATTACACATTTTGGTTAGTAACTGTGACGAAAGATATGGGAAGAGAGTGACAAGGGATCCTGTTTCCCATAGAAACCTAAGAGAGGCTGGAGAACTCCTTGACCTTTGCAGTGACTTGAAAGAGACCTTCATTCCAATTACTAGAGTTGATCAATTGATATAAACTGGGGACACAAGCAGAGTTCTCTATGTAGTTCTCTCTGTTTGTCATGTGGCAGGGCCCCTTAGCACCAGAGTGATCATGTATCCCCATCCTACTTTGTTTATATATTCCAGAACCATCAAATTTGAGGCACTATGCCTAGAACTTGTACACGAAGTGCTCTCGGATCATCTTTGGGATCTAGTTCCCAAACACCTTATTTTTTTCTTTTCCTGGTGATCGTTAATTTCGTTGATATGTATGAGATGTATGAAGACATGAACCAGCATTCTAAGATTTGTTTTGCTTCAGGCGAATCAACTGAAATCCTTGGCTTTAGCTCCTTAACTTAAGTAAATAGAATCATACCTCTGCATTATGAAAAGAATGCCAGTGCGTGTGTATACTCTTTCTGATTTTTTTGTCTTTTAAAATACACCCCAAAATTTCCTTTGAATCAGCTGAAGAGCTGAAGAGTTTCCACACCCTCTTTAATACGCAACTTGAATACTTGATCTATAACCACATTCTCTTTGATTATCTTTTCAAAATAGAAAAGCGACAAATGCACATAGTGCTTTTTTTTAATATATATATGTGCTTGAGTCGTTTAGGTCATTACATGTCATCATTTGCATGATAAGTAGTTTAGTCAATTTCTGCAATCATTCCTGTATAGAAGTTAACGCTTCGTTACATTAATCAGAACATGATTTGTCTCAACTCAACAAAAGAGGAGGTGCCAATTCTCGTAACAGGATCCAATTTCAATATCCTTGAAATGATAGCCGAAACCTTGAGAAAAACACACTTGTTGAGTAGTTATGAATGACTTAATGAAATTTAGGTAGTGTTCAAAAAAACAGACCGCCCAACGCTTAGGCAGACACCTAGGCGGTCTAGAAGGCTTCGACGCATCGCCCAGGCCTAGGCAATCAAACTGGGCTGCTATCCTTGCGCAGCCGCCTAGGCGGTGCGGAACCCGCTTAGGGGCGAAAATATTTTTTTATTCTATTGCCTGTTTTTTTAAATATAAATGATTTTACGGATGGGTTTTAGGTTCATTTGAAACCTAAACCCACAAGAACCCATTTTAGATAGAAAAAACTTCAAAGAAACTAAATTTTGTGATTTTTATTGGATTGAAGTGTTTCTCAAAGTTACGAAAAATGGATCCAAACATCATCTAGTTAGATTTTAGTTTTGGAGTTTTATAATCTTATTACAGGGTGTTTTTTATTATTTTAGCACCTGAAAACATCTCAGAGATAGGAGTTTGGAGTTCGAGCAATCAAAGTAAGTGCAAAACTTTATTTTTTAGATTGCTTGCTTTATTTTGAGATGTCTTCTTCACGATTTAGTCGAAGTGGAGATCCGGGTTGGAAATATGGATATAATCCGAATCCAAATAACAAGAATTGCATTAGATGCAGTGAAAAATATACAAACGAGGCATAAACCGGTTTAAGAAATATCTTGCCGGTATTAAGGGGGATGTTGCCCCTTGTAAAAATGTTCCTGAAGCTATTAGAGGCGAGATTAAGCAATATATGAGTTTTGTAAAACAAAAATAGGAACAAAATCTTTGCCATTTGAATAGATCTATTTTTGCTTCTTCTAGCAGAAGTGATCCAGGTTGAAAGTATGGTTAAAGCCCAAAACCAAACGATAAAAATTGTATAAGGTGTAATTTTTGTGAAAAAGATACCAATGGGAGTATTAACCAATTCAAGAAACACCTTGCTGGTATTAAATGGAATGTTGCTTATTGTAAAAAGGTTCCTGAAGCTATTCAAGATGATATTAGACAAGTTTTTTAATTTAAAAGAACAAGAAAATGATGAAAAATGAGCCTCGCTCTATGGAAATATCTTCTCCAAGTTCTTCTAGAAGTGGTGATCTTGGTTGGAAGTATGGTTATAACTCGAATCCAAATGACAAAAATCGTATTAAATGTAATTATTGTGGAAAGGATACTAATGGGGCATTTACCGGTTTAAAAAATACCTTGCCGGTATTAAGGGAGATGTTGCCCCATGTAAAAACGTTCCTGAGGTTACCAGGGAGGAGATTATACAATATTTAAGTTCAGGGAACTATAAAAAGATAGAAAAGGGTAGAGCAGCCAAGACTCCTAAGGCCTCATTTGTACATACTAGTAAGAGGGAGGTCGAAGAAGAGGAGAAGGAAGATACAGATTCAGAAGAAACAAATGAGGACGAGCGTTATAATGAAGAGGGAGATGACTTTGATGATGATGGTCTCAAATCTGATGTATATGATGAGGCTTACCCTATTCCTTCTGATGATGAGGATGACGATGATGATGACTGAAAACTCTTGGTGTTGAGTGTTGAGTGTTGAGTGTTGAGTGTTGAGTGTTGAGTGTTGAGTGTTGAATGTTAACTGTTGAGTGTTGACTATTGTGTTCTAGATTGTATATTTTCTGAATTTCTGTATATTTTCTTTTTCTTATTTTTAGTTTCTACATTCTAGTTTTTAGTCTACTATCTAACTTTTGTGTGTACAGTCTACAGTGTATCACAATATCAGTGTATGATTGTATGGTTTTACTGTCTAGCATTGTATGAAAATATAGATTATGGTCTTATGGATTATCAAAATTCTCTTCTTGACTTCTATCTTCTTTTTTTTCGACTGGGATTATGGTATTATGGATTATCAAAATTCTTATGGATTATGGTTTTATGGATTATCAAAATTCTTATGGATTATCATAATCAAATTATCTTTTCTTTTCTTTTTTGCAACTGGGACGTCCAGGTTCTGGGCACCTGCCTAGGTGCTGGGTGGCCTGAGCCCCCATGGCCGCCTAGCGCTTTTTGAAACTATGAATTTAGGCTTGCAATGCACATTGATATTTTTTCTACATCTTTCTTGAAATATTGAAACCATGCTAAAAAAGTCTAGATAAATAATGGATCAGTTTATATGAGGCTACAACAGAGAGAGTGTAACAACAAATGTAGCAAAGAAGATTGCAATCAACCACGGCCAAGATGACAACACATCACAATGGGTTAAGCAAATTAGATCATATGAGGAAATGGCACATTAAGAGTTCATAGAATTGAATTTATGTATGAATACTACGAATGCTTTTACACATTGGTTAGAATGAACGAACCACTAAATGGATTCACAGCAAGCTTCAGGACTCTTCCCAGATTCTAGAGGGTCATGATATCAAGAAGCAATAGCCCCTACTAGATATGCTAACTCTTAATCCAGGTCACTAAGAATAGCAAGTCGATGTCTTTATAAAGCTATAACTTAAGTAGCTCCATGCGTTCTAAAAAATTTGCAGTTACAGGACACACATTTTCAGTTAGACAAATCAATAAAATGCATGTACATAATTACGCAAATAATATCCAGATTACTCCAACAGAAAGCAAACACCTTATAAAACCAATTTGGCAATCAGATACATTTGGCTGTTTCATTTTTTCTTGTTTGAGGCTGCCATGCATTTCACACAAGCAACCTGAACCATAAATCTTAAACCCATCATCTTGGCAAAGCCATCAACAACATCTACTGTATAACAAGATCATAAACTACAAGAGAGAAGATCAATAAAATTATATCTAGGATCAGATCACATCATAAAATAGTTCATAATTAATGCTAACAAACAATTGTTCATCCCGTCCTCGAGATCAGAAGGTATGGAGAACCATTAATGAAAGCACTTTCATGCAGCCAAAATACCCATAATTTTGTCCCACAAATCAACAATTGAACCTCAGTTTCAAATCAGTCGAATCAACAGCAACCAAATTCTGCAAACTAACCAACATCCGGCAATAACAAGGGCAAGGGAGCTATTGGGCAAGAAACAGATACAAATATCTAAGCCTCCAAACCCAGAGAAAGAGAGAGAGAGAGAGAGAGAGAGAGAGACGGAC